AACGGAGTGCCAAGCCCTGACTTCCACAGTCGCTTCCCCAACTAGTAATTAGTTTTGGAAAAAAAAACCCCAACAAACAGATATGCTTGCATACAGTGCTCTTTTCAAAAAATAATACTAATTTTTCTAAAGTATCGCATCTGTGAATCCCCAAGGATTCCCAAAAGTGAGAGCTAAAAGCTGCCGAAACCCCGTAGGAATTCTTTCAAATCCTTCATACACCCATTTTTTTAAAGAAGTCAGACTGAAAAAAAAGCGCCCGAAAAACAAGCACCAAAATGTGCCTCTTTTCTTCGACTGAACTGTTCCGAATTGCAAACATAAATAGGAGCACAGCGCAGCTTATGCGGGGGACACATGTGAATAGAAACTTGACTTATGCAGACCGACATAATTGCTCAATTAAAAGCTTTGAGTGAAAAAGACAAATCATAACTTCGGAAAACCCGATTTTTGAGGGAAAAATTAGTAAGCACGATAAATTGCTCTTTGCCCTCCAGCCAATGCACTGGAAGTAATCAGAGCTTCCCCAATTTTCCTCATACTTTAAAGGCCGAATATAATTTATCGTGCTTTAAAGGCATTTTCTAGTAAACAACTCAGTTCTGCTCGCGGACCAGTCTGTGAGGGGCTAAATGATTGGGTGAGCCATCTAAAATAGCAGCAAATGCCCTGCATCCAAAGACATTCCAATTCCGAACTGCTTCCATACCCAGTACAGTGAAGTAAGTCTCTTCTTCCAGAACAGTGCGGCCAATGCATCAGTCTTGCTGCATCGGCGAGCTCTGGGCACAAAGCATATGACCAGTCGATGCGGCTGGCCAAAAAAAAAACCACACTGATATTTTACGAAAACAAAAGCACCGTTATCAAGGTGAAAAAGATGTGAATAAATGCAAGTTATGTCCATTTTCAGCAATCCGGAGCCGCCACGACGAAGCGCAGATAATCTTATAAAATTAAAAATTTATAACTGCTGGTAATTTCTGCCCTAGGCAACTAATTCACCGCGGTCAGCGAACCGCAATGGATTTGAGGCTGGCCAGGTATAAAGTCTGGCTGCTCCAGGCATATTTGGAAGACACTGCACCCGCATTCCATTCGACCAACCAGAGACTACGGACTGCTGCCAGGCTGACTAGAAGAGAGCAGTGTGACAGAGATCATGCAGCTGCGCGCAAAGCACACAATGCACGATGAACAATGCATAAAGGAATACAGAATGAAACACAAAACGCATCTGGTGTCTTCTGATGCAGCCTATAATGGCGAACTTCCCAAGAATCCCGGATGATCAAAGGATGCCGCCGTGAAAATCCCTCGACAAGAATCTACAACTGTAC